GTGTATTATTGTCTCAGTCTCTGCTTGTCCTTTTGTGGTTGTTTTGGAAGAGTTATTGTTTTGGATTCTTTGTGGCTGATCTGTTTCTATCTTATGAAAATTCATCATTAAAGATGCTTAAGTTTATATCAGTCTCCCGAGTCCTGCATTTGGTTCCACATCCTGTCTGCCACACACGGTTTTGACAAAGTCACAGAATCCAGTATACTGCTGATTGATGTATAGCTGCGTTAATTACTTGCCTGCAGGTGGCTGCAGGGAGTGACTGATGACTATTAAGGCCTTTCAGCATGAAATAGTGCATTTATAAATGTATATAAATATAAATGTTTTCTGTAATTTGTTGAATAATTGTGTGAGTCAGCGTATAAAATAAGTAAAATGTTAAATACCTGCTAGACTGAAAAAAGTCTGCTCTGATGATAACCAGGGTGCAGAGGAATGATCAGGAAAGCAAAATAAATCTGTGGTTTTGTATTAACTGTGAGTGCTGAATGAGGTGTAATAATGTGAGACTGCACAGTTTATCTGAAAACTATTGATGACAAAGTGAATTTTACTTATTTACAGAAGACCTTTGGGTAGAGCAGGACAAAGAACGAGTAAGAAGGCTCCTCACATCCCAGACATGAATTGCTCATTTCTCCTCTGTCAGGTGCCCACTCATCTTTAGATATTCAATCTCTGTGTTTACATAAAGTCCATGTTATCTAGCCAGGCCCTATGATCCTCTCCATCTCCAACCATTGTCTTGATCTTGGTGAGTAGCTGAAAAATTTCACCAGCTTCCTCAGTTGCCTTGGTATCCGCCCCTGGGCAGGGCCGTCAGATCTTCAATAGCTCCACTTGCCTGGAGGTGATTTAGTAATCAGGCTGGAGAGATTTAAGGCCATGCTGACGATCCTCCTCGGCCAGTTTGTCAACTACTTTATTTTTGTAGCCAGCTTTAATGTTCAATGTTCAATGTTCTGTTTGCCAAGTCCCACTTTTACCTCCAAATTAAGCTCATGTCTTGGACCTTGAATAATCTACCTTTCCTCTAAAAATCTCTCCATGCCTCACCTGCCTGCCCTTCTTCCATCACACTCCCTACGGAAATCAAGTCAGCCAACTCACACTGTCTAACTCACCTGGACTCACACCGCCTCTCCCTCCAAGCATCTTTCACTCCGCCTGCGAGTAAGCTTTAAATACATCTGTGATCACCTTCTCTAGGGCTCATTTTTTGTCATTATTCAAACACTGCTCAACTCTCTCCTCAGTGTGATCACTGAACGTAACCAGCCACGCTCCAGTTACTCTTCCAAGCCCAATTTTCCCCACTCAGCCCCCACGACCACGTTAACATGCTACGCCAAGCCCCTTTTACATTCTGAGCTTTGTTGTGTTCAGTTACAGACAGATATTGACTTGTGCTAGTACAATAAACACATTGTTAAAACTTTCTCGCCACCTCTGCTCTGGGTTTCTGCATTTGGGTTCAGTTTTGGCACCGACCTTCTGCCCCTGTGACAACCATTTTCCCACTTTTAATTAAGGCAAAGGTTTTTTTCATTTTATGTCTTCATTTAATACTAGTTTACAATCGCATTTTTACTCTATCATACACCTTAAAATTCAGACAGTCAGAGATGAGTGTGTCCTGTGCTGTCAGTCACACAAACACACATACACTTATTTATATATGTCTTACAAAGTCGTTCTATTTCATTGGACTGAATTTTAAAATCCAAAAATAACTCATAAAGTAAAAGGTAGTGATGGTCTGTCGGCTCATGTGTGGGAAAAAAAATAAACAATCAGCTCACTGCTTCAGAAACACTTTGCAGGGGGTTGGGTCGTCTGAGCAGAGTCACGTGATCAGCGACGTCCGAAGCTTTATTCAGCACTCCACTGCTTTAGTACCTGATCCATTGGTTTATAACAAATTGAATCATTGGTGGGATTTGTGCTGTGTTTTGGTGATTTTGTGCGAGAGGGAGCAAGCTAATTGTGTGTGAGATAATTAGAGACATCTAATAGGCTCTGCCTATTCCCGAATAAAACCATTTCATCAGCAATTTGGCTCCCTGGTCTGAAATCTACATATGAAATACACAATACATATATGTGTATAATTATAGAAGTTATTTTATTATATATAAACGTACCTGTCCACTGGTTAATTACATAATCACGTGAAGGAAGGGGCTTCATGGCACAAGTAATCTCCCAAACTATTATAAGATCATGCTCAACATTGTTAATATAGCAGAGAACACACAATGGCACATGTTTCAACAAGGGTGGTTTATTCATCTAAAGGATTTATTATGAAAATAGATATAACACAACCCCTCCCCTTCCAAAAAAGCCTTATATCAATCTAAGTTGTACATTCAAGCTGCTCTTTATATTATGGGCCATCAGAGGTCACCAAACAGGACTGTTTTGACAAGTAATGAACCGTTTTTCTATACATGTTTCAGAAAGCTTAATGTGGCCATGACTACTAAAAGCCTTACCATTACGTCTATCAATTGAATAATTAGTTTCCATTAAACACAACAAGTGGAGGCTACACATTGATGATGTCACGACAATAAAACAATACTTAGAGCACAATCATTCATGATCAAGCAACAATAATTTGAATTGGGAAAATGTTCCTTCTCAAGTTAATACTGTTTCCAGTGTTCACATTGACTATGACAGTCAAACAGTGCCATCTAGTGGCTATATAGGTTAGCAGCAGAGTAAACGTGTAAACATTTCTAATGCGACTACAGATTTGACTCTTACAATTTATCTACAGCAAATACACATAACACACAACACTAATGTTATTTTACAGATATCTACTACAGACCACCACAGCGTCTTTAAAGGTTTAGAAGGAAACAACGGAAGTCTAATGAATGCTGATGTAGAAGCC